TTGTTTCCCTCTTTCTCTGTAGTTCCGACAGTTTTGACACAGTGTCAGTGTCATTTGGCAAAACAGGCCTAGACAGCATCAGATGGAGATGTGCTTCAGAGTCAGAAAAATACTTTCTTTTGGAAGCGCTTTAGAAATGTCTTATACCCAGAGTAAGCCATTTCCCCGTAAGCTCACCACAGCCAGCGAACACTTCCATTTAGCACTGCTTTTTTATTTCTGTGCCAGTGTGCTATTAGAGAAGGTTCTTTAATTTTTCCAATTATTCTGGGAACCAAACCACAGAATCGCTTTTCCTTACATAACTGGAATGATAGCTGTGTCTATCAAAAGCCTGGCTCTTCTATGGATTCCACAGTGAAAGGAGGCCCTCTTTGGATTTTTGGACAATGACAACGTTAGACTAAATTTACTTTTATGAACTCCTCTAATTTGATTAATCTAATTTCTTTTGCATTTGTTTGGACACAGGCTTAGCCAATTAGATTTGTAAAAATTGAAGAAATTCTTCAAGAGAACCTCTACTTGATAATCATGAATAATGGAGTCTATGAGCAAAAAGAAAATGTAGGTGGGAAACTTGCAAGGAGATTCCACTAGAAGCAAAAGGCCCATAAAACCCAAAATCTCTGTGATGGTAGTTCTCCTGGTGAGATGCACATTTGGAATAAGCTCTACTCTAGTGCCTTGTAATTTTTATTTTGCATGCAAATTATCTAGGGGTTCTTTAATATGTAGATTCTAATTTGTACATCAGGAGTAGTGCTGAGATCTGGCCCAAATGACTGCTGGGCTTGCAGGCCCTATTCTGAATGGTAAGGCACTAGGAGACTTCTCACTTGGATGGAACCATTTATTTTTCTGTTGCTGTGATAAAACACCATGACCAAAAGCAACTTATGGAAGAGTTTATTTGCCTTTACAGTTCCAGAGGGATAAGAGTCCATCGTATTGAGGGGCCTGGTAGTAGGTGGCAGGCATGAAGGCAGGAGCAAGAAGCTGAGAGATCTTCCACCTCAAATGTGAAGCAGAGAGAGCAAACTGGAAGTGGGACAAGGCCATGACCCTCAAAGCCTGCCCTCAGTGATGTACTTCGTCCAGCAAGGCTACATGACCTAAAGATTCCATGGCCACCCTAGACAGCACCAGCAACTGGGGACTAAGCATTCAAATATTTGAGCTTTGGGGGGACATTTCTTATTCAAAATACCACAATGCTGTAATTTCATCTCCAGAAAATGTAAATAATATGCTTATTTAAAACAAGGAACAACATATTAGAAGAACAGAAAGGAAGTTCATGTAGAAGAGCCTCCTGTGAGGCAGAGTAGTACCTGCTGCTCCATGTGCATTGTTTTAAAGGCTTCCTGAAATGGGCTTTGAGACTGTGTTTGGATGGATAAAGGGCCTATGCAATGATACATGGTATGACTCCTGAAGGGACAGGAAGATTAATAATAAACTCCTCATTATTAGAGGGCCTAGCTATGTACTAGAATAATAGCACTTCAGTGGAAGGTTTAATATGTCAAATGCCATTTCTAAGATAGTCTATCCACTGCATTTCAAAAATGAAAATCTTTGTCATTACATTCTCCTCCTATTGATATCATATTGATCATTGGGAGTGAACTGTTAATTGTATTGACAAAGATATCAGTGTGAAATTTGGTCTCTGGGAGTGGGATAGGGTGTGTGTGTGTGTGTGTGTGTGTGTGTGTGTGTGTGTATGTGTGTGTGTGTGTAGGACAGTGGAGGTATATATCTGTGTATATTTATCAGAACCTGGGAACACTGTGTTCTACAATGTCCCAGTAATAATTAGAAGATCCAGTAGAAAAGAAGGAAGAGGACAAGAATGCAGCAATATTGGTCCAAATGAAGGTTGGTGGAAGAATACAACAGAATAAGTCAATTTAAAAGTAATAAAAAATATAAAAAAATATACTGACTTTCCAATTGATTAAAAGGTGGTATAGAGAAGTGGGTGTCCACAAGTAATTTTAAGTGTCTCTCTCTCTCTCTCTTTCTCTCTCTCTCTCTCATTCATAATTAAAATCACAAGCTTGATAATCAGACCACACCTAGACTTAAACCTGGACTTTATATAGCAACTGCTTGGCTTTTTCATCTACTGCCTTCAAAGCTGCTTTAAAGTGTTTGTGAGGAATTGATGAGAAATCTACAAAAGCGTTAGGTGTGTAGATAAGATGTGGAAGCTTCTGGAAGACAGAGGAGTTCTTAGCTCTAAGAGGTCATCAACAGGTTGAAACTGGTTCTGAAATGTATGGTATAGGAGGGAGAGCTACAGACCACCCTCAGTGTGGTTTGCTGTGTATAAGGGTTAAATTTTGAAACTGAGTGATAGTGAGAAAGACCTGTGTTTGTAAGTTGTGAAGATTCTAGGAAGAGAACTAGGAACAGTTTCAAAGACAATGTCTTTTTTTTTTTTTTGCCTTAAGTTGGCTTCAGTGGTTATGAAATACTGACTTTTACACCAAGTTGGGGTGCAGAAGCAAAAATAAGACTAAGAAAAGGGGCAATATATCCAATTTATGAAATTTAAGAAAGCACAGTTAATAATGAAGAATTACGAAGATTCAGAAACTTCAGGTAGTCAAAGACTGAGGCACATGTTTTATTTTTTATTTGATTTAAAATTTTTTTATTTTATGTGTATGAAAGTTTTACCTGCCTGTATGTAAGAGCACCTGTGCATATAAATGCCCACAGAGACCAGAAGAGGGCATCAGATCCCCTGGGAACTGGAGTTACACATGGTTGTTAGCTGCCATGTGGGTGCTGGGAATAGGACTTGGATCCTCTACAAGAACAGCCAGTGCTCCTAACTGCCGAGTCACCTTCAGAGGCCTTGAGATGCAGATTTTAATTAAAAACAAACACAAAACAAAATAAAAACAAGTGGAAAACCCTCACAGCATAGAGGAAATAGGGCAGCAGCCATTGTCCAGTAGCCAGAAGGACATCAAATCCTGGAAACACTTAAAACGGAAGAAGCATAAAGATTGGCAGAGAAGCAAATTCTAGGCTTCAGGACCTGAGTCCAGTAATGAATGTATTCTATTTAATATCTCATATTCCAGACAATTTCTTTTGTTTTTTTAAAAAATTGAATTTACGTTTTATTTTATTTCATTTAAGTTTGTGTGTGTGTGTGTGTGTGTGTGTGTGTGTGTGTGTACACATGCAGGTGCGTGTGCACCCTGAGGAAGACGAAGAAGTGACAGGAGTCCCTTGTCTCCTACCATACGGGTCCCTGGGATCAAACTCAGGTCCCCAGACGTGGCAGCAGGCACCTTTACCCACTGAGCCATCTCCCTGGCTCCCAACAGTCTCTTTTCTGATCTCAGCATGGAGGGTGCTGATCATGAGTCAGAGTCTGAATTCTCACTAAAACTCCAGGCTCCTGTAACTCAAAACATCTGCAGACAAATACAGAGATCAGGGAGCGCCGCTTCTCTTCACAGATTCTGAATCCACCATATCCGCTGCTACTCGGTGGGTTTCTCCTCCATGCATGACATCGGGTTTAAATCCTTGAAGTTCCACATTAGTTTTAGTACCTGGAAGGGTGCTTTAATTGGTTTCCGAAGTAGATTTCATAAAAGGGTAGGAAAGAACGAAGACGCTGATGTAGAAGCAGAAGGAAGTCAGCAGCAGGGTCTGAAGTCTGGGCAGGCTGTGAAATGAGACTGCCTGGGTGGTGTTCTGCTGTCCACTCTGTGAACGAATACTGCTCCTGTACCTGTCCAATAACTGAATGCTATTTGCTCATGTTTCCCCCTTGAGAGAAATCAGTTTCTTAAGTAGGAGATTTCTCAGCATGGAGAAGGAAGCTGCTCCTCTCAGTCTGTATTTTCCCAGTTAGCTATACATGGCGAACAACAGGGGAAATATCAGTTGAAAAAAGTACTGCAGAGAGACATTTATTCAAGACTTAAAATGTATCAGGTGCTTTATAGAGCAGAGAGATAGATGAAGTCCCTTAAGGCTTAATGTGTGAACACCAGAACTGACTGAGGAGAGCTAATTTACAGCTTTCTGGTAAGAAATGGGGTTTAGAAGGATGATGTCACAAAACAAACAGAGATTGTCGTAACATTTTTTTACTGAGTTTTCATTGGGGATAGTTTTAAAACATATCAATTATTTTGTGACATTTGACAGTGTAACAAGATTTTGCACTTTGTGAAACATCATTTGGAAATTGCCCCAAGTGAACACGCCCCCCCCCCCGCAATTGACCTTGGTTGCGATTTTATGAATCTTGAGTGACTGATGTATTAGCCATACTCCTGTGAAGCAAGCTGCATCAGATGGAATCTAGTGTACAGGAAGAGGAAAACCTTAGGAAATCGCATGACAGGAAACCAAGCTGGGTCCCATGAATGTTTGCTGCTAGATTCTAGGACTTTCCTTTCTGGCTGCTGCATCTTTATTTTAACAGATCTGCCTCTGAGGTTAAATGAAGGTCCCCTCACAGCTCCATATTGACATAAATTACCTGCAGAGCAACTCCAGTCTCTGTGGTCCATCTTGGGGAGGGACAGTCTATTTGCCTTCCACCCCAGTTCTGTCATACATAATATGAACACAAAGAGTGTGGATAGTCTCTTGCAATATGATGTGTGTTTATATAGAGCAGACCCCACAAAACATTTGTTAAATGAAGAGAGAGGGACATGTTTGATGACAGGAGTGAAACGGTATTTTACAATTTAGATCACAATTGTGGATTTTTGTGATTTGATTGCTGCCATAAGCAAATAACTGATTATAATTTGTTAATGATTATATTAGTTTCTAGCATTAGCTACATTGAGTTAATTTCTGGGTTGTTTCTATATATAATTTAAAATCATTAAAAATTTAAAGAGCTAGATATTTGTGAGATCTCTTGGGTGACATAACAGTACTCATATTTGTTCATTTTAATGGTGTTTATTTCTCTTTTTTTAAAATATTTGTCCTTGGTGAAGACCAAGCCTGGAGTAATTCGCCCAGTACCTATAAAATCCAAACTGCTACTGACAAAAGAGGAAGACGTTTATGAACCCAACCCTTTCAGCAAATACCTTGAAGACGACAGCAGCCTGTTTTCTGAGCAGGTGAGTTTTCATGGAATGGAACATTTGGTGTTGTGATGAGCCTCACATAAAACAGCAGTAGCAGAAGAGCAGGAACACACGGCTTCACAGGCAGCATCCTTGGACATGAGATGGCCATTTTTGTATAATACATAGAAATTCTTTACCATTAAAAAATATTTTGAAGCATCTCCAAGGATTTTTGAAAAACTTTCTACCCAGTGTTGGTTCTGTTTGTGAATCTGTGCCATTCAGCTCTGAGGACCCCATGAGCTCGTTTGTGAGTGGGCCATATGGTGCTGCGTTATTATTTTAACTCCTGCCTCTAATCTAAAAGTCATAGTTGGCGCTGAAAAGATGGCTCAATGGTTAAGAGCACTTGCTGCTCTTGTAGAGGACCCAGGTTTGATTCCCAGCATCACGTAGTTGCTTACAGCTGTCTGCTACTCCAGTTTCAGGGGCTCCAATACCCTCTTCTAGCATCCTCAGGCACTGCATGCTCATGGGGTGCATACATACATGCAGGCAAAGCATACATATAAAATAAAAATTAAAAAAATCATTTAAAAAGTGATAGCTAGTTGTTAAACATTGGAGGACATTTTAGGGACCTTTTAGTCTAATTGGTTATATGTATATACAAAAATTTGAATTTGAAAACTGGGTTTTTATCCAAATTATACTGAATAATTAGGAAAATACATGTATATTTTTACGAAGTGTGAAAACCCTTAAATCTTTTAAACATAAAACCTAGTTGAGAAAAGTAGGGTTATGGGTGAGCATTTATAACTTAATTTAAACCAAAATTAGCATTAATTAAAAAATTTATTTAATTTTTAAACTTTATGTGTATGCATGTATTGCCTGCATATAGGTAAGTGCACCTGTGTTGTGCAATGCCCTTGGAGGACAGAAGAGGCTGTCGGATCCCCTAGGACTGGAGTTACGGACAGTTGTTAGCTGCCATGTGGGTGCTGGGATTCAAAGCCAGCTCTTCTGCAAGAACAACCAGTGTTCTTAACTCCTGAGCCATCTCTGTAGCCCCCAAATTAGCATTATTTTATCATTTAGGAATATACTAAGTGAAATATTGGATATTGGAATCCATTAATAGCGAAGTATAAAAGAGTTTAAGGAACAAAAAATGAGAGAAATGTTCAGTTATAGGGGTCTTGATTGTCACTTAGTTGAAGATGAGTCCCATGCAACTTCTCTGAAATCCACATGGGTGAGTCCTTAGATGATGCTGGTACATGAGTCTCTTAAAGTTCATTTCCTTGAATTTTGTAGTATGGGAGCAGGTTTGAAGTACCTGGGTCAGTGTTTACGCTCCAGATGAAAGGAATGTTTGTTTGATGGTCTTTTTTCAGTTGGTGAAATCTTCTGAATTCTTTATCCTTTAAGGAATGTTTTTCAATTAATTTTGAATTTTTAGTAGTCATATTTAAAAGTCCTTGTTTTTCTAAGCAAATTAACATTTAAGAAAACTTTTTTGTTGTAACTAATACTAAAGCATTAATTTTGCCTCAGGGTATTGAATTTTGACGTTAAAAATTTAGTAATCTTTAAATAATGACCAACTTAATTATAATTCTACTTCCTTTAAGTTTTAATTTTCTATTTTTCTACAGTATGCTAATTAATTTTTTTGACATTATCCATTTCCATTTGGAACAATATTTTACCTCACAAATTCAAAAGTATTTTTCTTTAAATTTTCTTTGCAAAACAAAGAACAAAAAGTCATATTTATATTTATAACCTTTTGATTTCTATTTTCTTTACATTGATTATCTCTCTTTTTCTCTCTCTCTCTTTCTCTCTCTCTATAATTTTAGAAAACTATTGAATAAGATAATTTTAAATGAAAATCAGGGAGGCTATGTCCAAAACAGAAAACATACATATGGCTTCATAATATCTAACAGTAATAAAGACAAGTATTACATATTAATAGTCTTATTTTGTTTTATTTTTAACCAATTTGAACAAGTAACTACAACCTTATTTTTCTAGATAAAAATACCCAAAGATTTGGCTTAATTTTTCTTATCAAAATT